CTGCGTAGGCAGCCAAGTACTTGTGCAGCAGTTGTTGATCTCGCTCATTTTTCGTCTCTGCGTACAGTCGCTCAGCAGTAGCGACGCATTTTTCCCAACGTCCCTGTTCAGCATACATTTCGATGGCCGAGATGACGTCGACACCAGCCAATTCTTCCGCATGACCACTCACCTAAAGGATAGACGTTCAGTCTACTTAAATAATTGAAGTAGACACTTATTCACAGATTATCCTCCCTCGACGGAGATGTGGCATTTGCTTACTTGAAGGAAAATAAAAGCATGTACCTTGAGAGATTCCTTGTATTTGGCCTCAACATAGGGCTCCAGCCGTGGCTCCAGGTCCTTAGCGATCTTTCTTGCCTTGGTCCACTCTTCACCAGCGATAAATACATCCACCGCGTCCTGGACCTTGTCAATGCTGACCAACAAGTCTCCAGCCGTGGAGTAGCGCTTGAGTCAACGGGATAAAATAAAACGGTCATTAAAGAAATTCGAGTACACCAATCTATATTTTTTGCAAAGAGGCCAAAATTGGTCTGGTGTAATGCGATTATTTGCTCACAAGAAGTGCATAAACATATGCTAGCGTTTTCAACCTCACAAGACCCTTGACCGCTTCAATTAATTCGAGGCTGTATGTCTAATAACCGAAAAGCAAGATGGGGGAATGTCTACCAAAGCGAAATAATCACACTTTTGTGCCGGTTGCTGCCGTACTAGGGAGGTGAGGGATCGTTGATGACCACATCTATGATCGCCTGATACGCAAGGAGCAACTCGAAAAATCCAAGAGCTCAAAAATAATATTATTGTAATTTTTCCAAGGATCTGTATGAGTGGCAATTCAAAACCACCAAATAAGTAGGAGTTGAATCCTGCCCAGCACTGTGAGGGTTCCAAGTTTTACTGCTCGGTCCCTCTTAGCGCATGCATCTACTCATTCTACCCTCTCGATGTACTATTTATTTCGGCAGTAATCAACATGCGTTGTAAGAGTTCTCTACCGTTCGTGACCAAGTTCCCGATCATGTCGACTGGATCCAGGAAAGAACACAGAAAGAACGGCCGGCCCCAGAGACTGAACAGAAAAGCTAACAGTTAATGCGACATTAGTGTCTTCAACTCTTCTCAATCAATCTCTCCAATCTTCTCAATCATTTGTACCAAAAACATTTGCGACTGGAAATCCCAGCCGAACGCGTAAGCAGACATTACTAGTACGACATGCGGATGCAGCTCCAATAAATTCTAAATACTACGTCAGGATCTTTACTCGTTGAGCAGGCCCATTTACAGACGGGGATTTAAGGCACGTAAAGGGAATGTGTTTTAGTAGCTGTTACTTCGATTGCGCGATACTAGAAAGGAACCGTTTTTGGAAATCGCATTGTAACAATTGCATAATGACAGATTAAACTAACCACGTGCAAAATGCTACGGGACGCTATCCGCCCTAACCGTTCTAATCAGGGCCAAGACCCGATTATACTTGTAAAACGGAAAGTAAGGACATTTTTTATACGAGAATGGTGGTAATAGTGAGTTCAAGTTTCTTCGATGAGCAGAAGTAAGCGAATTGCAAATTACGCCATTATCTTGTTTAAATACAGTAATAAATTGCAGAAACGCGAGCGCATAATTCGAAATACCGAAAATTAGCAACCGTAAACCCGTGGAAAGAGTGAAAACCAACAGCACTGGTTGGATATTTCGGGCGTACAGCCTCCAGCCTCTGCTTACTAAATCGTTATAGCCGACCCCCGTTATGGTCACGATTAACGATGCGACTTAAGTTGAAGATATTGATAGTCTCATCCCCGTTCTTAGAAGTGTCTCTCAAACAACCCTAACAAATAAGCCCATCAAATCAAGCCTAGTATTAACCTGAACACCGACGCTAATGGCAACAGTTGAGAGAGGCCTGGTTGACAATGGGCAAAAGGAAGAGATAATTAAATTAAGCCTAAAGAAATGACATGGCTAGGCATTTCATTGAAGTCAAAACTAGATGAGGCCACGTGCCCGATCATCGCCAGACAAACTAACGGAAATACGTGTTTGGTCTGCATAGGCGGTCTTGTTACCGTGATAGTCCGTCAAATTTCTCATAGACAGGGTCCTGACCACCACCCATAAGTGGAGACAGTAAAGTTTTTTTTACAGGAAAGTTAGTTTTCAAGTCTGAAACAAGAAATTTAAAGAAAATAAGGGTATTAGTTAAAATAAGATTTGAAGTCAAGTTTAAGCTCCGTAATCTGATTGGTATAGAGTAGGAAATTGGCAAACAGTGGATGAAGTCTGATGGTTTACTTTCGTAAATATTGGTAAAACTCTTCAGAGAATATTATCTATTCCACAGGCTATATGAGGCTAATAACAAAGCCCTATTTACTGCCAATACAAGCGAACATGCGAGTCCCAGGAAGTAATTGAGAAAAAGACGACTCGATCGCTACACTATTTATTGCCCACCCTGACTCGATCTCTCAAACTGCCTTTGCCTAAGCAACAATCCTAAATTTTCCGAGGAGGACCTTGGCCGAAACCTACCTGCAGTCGCGTAAGCCGGGAGGCGACCAGTTCGGTCACCTTGACAGCATTGTCGGGAGCGAGAAACTTTGTGGCCAGATTGACCGCATGCACCCACACGTGTTCGCAGGTGTCCAAAGGGTGCGCAGATTCACTCTCTCCGAGCAGCTCCGGTGTCAGCTTCAGGTACTGCTCGACCGCCTTCAGGTGTTCCCCGTGGGCCTCCAACTGACGCGCATGATTCAACAGCGGATTGGCTGAGGGGTCAAAGTCTTGATGAGATCGCAGAGTGCTGTGTCGAATGGGCGAACCCTTAGCTGCACTGTCCGCAGACTGTGCTCCCTTCAAACCCAGCGCAGAACGCATTTTCTCCTCTTCGTAGTCTTCCTGTAGACCAAGCGAGCAAAAGAACATACAGAGGTCATAATTTTGAAAAAAACCTACTAAAACGATTTCAGTAGCCATTATTAGACTGGCTGGCATTCCTTAGGAAGTTATGGACGGGGGATGGAGGTTTGCTTGGGAAAGCTTAGAATAAGATAATTTGGGAACAGAGGCATGGGCTCAGTTTTATGGTGTCGCATTAGGGATTTGAGTTTAAGGATTGGGACAGGGGAATTGGGGTTGGCTTACGGGTTATGAAAAAGGCCTAAACCTAACTACTAACTCTAACTAATAGTCCAACCCAATAACCCCAACTCCTATTCCTAACTACTAATGTTGATTATTAATCAGGTTAAGTAACCCTAACTGTCAGTTCCAACTACTAGCTCAATTATTAATCGTACTTACATCCCAAATGTCTAATCCCAACAACTAACCCTAATTATCCATGCTAATTACTAACCCAAACTTAAAACACCCCGGCTCAAGACGGAGATCAGATGCCAAATTTCCTAATCGTAACCCTAACCCTCTAAACTAATGCCCCTGTTCCTAAGCCTAGATCCTAAATCCCGAGCCCAATAAAACTTTTCGCAAAATTACGTGATTTTAAGCTCTCCAAGCAAACCCTAAATCCTCGTTCATTATTGCCCAAAACATACAAGTCAGCGTATTATTACGGCCGTTTCGGATATTAACCCGTTTAGTTCTATCCAATAAATGTTCGAACCTTGTGAGTGACCTGGAACAAAGTCCTGCTCCCCCACCGACCGCATCGCTTCAACACATCGTGCCTTACACAACTTCTTCCTGTCTAGCTACTTTGGTCTAAGACTACCTTGGTTGTCATCAATAGGTGAAAAAAGACATACACTGAGTGTAACACCTAAGTCCGCATTACCTGATGAGGCACTGGTTCACGCTATGTTGACTGTTATTGGAAATATTAATCACTTTGGAGTAGTGTCAACCAATCTGGCGAAGTAAGGTAGTTAAATTTTCGCGTGGAAGTTGCCTGAAGAATCCTCGCAGACGCTCCCATAGCTACGAACAATCAGCATTTGAAAAGCTTTATCAAAAGGACAAGAGATATTATTTAGCCATTATCCGCTTCTTTACAGTCGTTCACAGGCCCGCTTTTTCTGTGAAATCCTAATATACTGTGCGGGGACTAGGTCGTGCCTGGCACGCGCAGACGGGCTGATTACTGTTGTCAACAACTGCGCCCGAACTGGTCTCCGATCGTCCTGCCCCAGTCTTGATACAGAACTCATGTGGGAGAGAACGGTAGATGGGTGCAAGTCTAATATCATTATAAAGTAATTCGCAAGTAGCTTAACTTCCTATGCCAAACATGTTGTGGGCCCATGGTGGACATGATCACATGCGACCGTCTAACCACCGTATTGTCTCGTCGGTGGTGTATTTCTCGACGTTGAAACTAGTTCTGAGGTATGCATCTTCTGTGTGTATACTGCAGATCATCTAGAGAGCAACCAGGAGTCCTGATTGCGAGACTACGGGATTGTTCGGAGCAATCCTAGATACGACGGTTTTTGTTGAAATATAAATTTCTATCGTATTATGAGCAGGTCGACCAGAGATTAGTGCTTATGAAAAATTCCTTTGCCTCTACGATGACAGCATGTAGCCACCGCGGATGAGGAAAAGCAAATACTGAGTTACGACGAAATTGATTGTGATTATAACACTAGGAGAAGCTCTTTGGATTCGTTTGTGAGGTTCGTTTTCTCTTACCGAGGAGAAAACCAAAAGACAACCTAAGATCAAGTAATGATGGACAGGAAACGGTCCTGTTGGGGAATAATTTTGGAATGGGGACCCAAATGCCGTGCAAAGCTAGTAAATCCTTGGGACTTCTCCAACAAAGCCGAATGAAAAGCTCTCTAGAAAACTGTCCCTTGACTAGTCATTTGTTTTAACTATGCTACAGTAGTCCACAAATGGGCTATACTGAATGGGACAAGTAAGATATGGAGAACGTCAAAGAGACACTTCAGAGTGGTGATTGGTCAAATCTTTGGCTATATTTACGGTGAAAATAACTGAAAACTAAAGTGCGGTTGAGAAAGCTCAGCCCATGTTTGCAAAATGGCTTTACGTCCAGCTATAAACTCCGTTCACCGAATGAACTGTGTTAGAATTTAGTTCCAAACTTTAAAAAGACACCGACATTCTGGGCATAGTGGTATAGATAGTGACCTAAAACTCTGGAGCTGCTTGCGTCCGTGGCATCAAACTCACCTACAGGGAGACTAATCTTGGGGCCGCTGAAGACTCATTGCTGCGCAGAGTTCACTACTGACTTCCTGCACGGCTGCTGTAAACTTTTCCTCCTTCAGTCTCATCCAGCAGAAAACAAGCCCTGCAAAACAATCTCTCCTTATGAAGGATCCACCATGGGGTTGAAAGGATTGGACATTCAATTAAACGTCTCGGAAAACTGGGTTCACGCACACTATCCACGACTGCTCTGTTCCCTGTATTAGTTCTATCTCCAGACCCATTCTGCTGATTGACTTTCAGTCACGCCCAGTGACGGTATTCTGTCCAACCACTAGATAACAGCTTTAAGTACCAGATGCAGCTAGAGGTGTGACTGTGAGTTTATGGCAGGCTGCAGCACACAGCCATATGGAATATGTGCAATCTAAGCTAATTCCAGTTCTCTTGTGCTTGCTGGCAAGGTTTATCTACCTACACTACTAACCATTGTGCGGATGCTAGTGGGGCTTGAAGATGAGACCAAGGGCAGAATGGAACAAGTGAATTCCGCTAGCCATCGGTGAGCATTCGTCAACAATTTCCTTAAATGTTCAGCTTTTTAATCTCCGGAGAAATTAATTTCTGATCGCGGTATATATTAGTATATTGAAGGTCTATGGGCGTAGACCGAAATTGTAACTGTATATTTGTGTTTAAACCCGTCAACCCTGTGAAATATACACATGCTGCCATTAGACAGTCCTCAGTAGTATAAACTGACGTTGTAACTTACCATACTAACAGCC